AAAGACAGTGTGAATATCGGTGCGTAGTAACATCTCTAGTGGCAGTCACTCAGAAGGCCACTAGAAGTGCTTCCTTGTCTAGTGCTGCCCAGTGTGCAGCACCCATGTTTAGCATCTCCACTCTCTGCATGGAGACACTGAACGCTCCCTAAAGAGATACATTGATCGATGCATCTCTGTGAGGAGATGTCCATTGGCGCAAAGCGACATTTTGCCACGCATACACAATAGCCTTGAATAGTATTGGATTAGCAGAGATCATCAAGATTGATAATCTCAGCCATGAAGGTGGAGCCAGCTGCAACGAGACCGGTGCTGCAAGGGAGAAATGGTAAGTTTACTTTTTACTCCACAGAGAGGTGATGGACACTTAAATGTATATTCCTATAGAGTTCCTCTAAGCTTTGTGCAGCTCCCATATAGTTGGAGAGATTGGACTACAGAGGTACCAATTTAATAACATGTTAAAGGACAACTGTCACCTCAAAACTATTTTTTAATATAATAATCCTTTTATGAAGTTTTGAAAGAAAATATTTTTTTTTAATGAAGTATATGACAGGATCTTTCAGCCATTTACATGCAACTTTGGACACTTGGACAGTGTTTGAAATCCAACAAGTTAGTCTCTGTGGTCTCCCCTTCTTCACTGTCTGCACAAAGCAGGAAAGACCAGCTGAAAGATCAAAATTAAGAAAAGTGGAGCTACATAGCTGAAAAATGTAAATTAGGAATAGCCATTATTTTTAATTATGGTCTTTTAGCTGTTTAATATATATTGCTCCTTAATGACACCTTTATATGAGATTGCCGTTTAACGATACCAAATGAGGCAGCTATTTGCTAAACACAATTGCTCCCTAATTTGGTATCCATGAAGCAGGGCCGGACTGGGAAGAAAATTAACACTAACACTGTATTCACCAGATTCTCTACAGCTTAAAGCGGCACTGTCACCATCTGTAGACTTTGACAAATTCAAATAGAACCCAGAGTAACATTGCTGCTGGGGGTCCAGTGGCCGGGGGAAAGTGGGGCAGGTAAGGTGAGTTTTTCTTGCATGAATCTGTTTCTCCTGGGCTCCTCCATATTTCTCAACCTGCTCTTCTTCAATTTCTGCCGATGTGACTGCTATACTCTCACGTACAGCATTGAGGTCTATGAAGGATCCCGTGAGACTGCAGGATCCTCCATAGATGCAGTCAATTCCATGCAACTGTCACTCCTCCATTAGTCTAAGAAAGTCAAGCGGCAAAGAAATACAGAAACACAGTATTCCCTACTTTGTCTTTGTACATCTCTGATTAGGTTAGAATTCCAGTGAAACTCCAACACAGTCAACAAGAGTATTTCATAAAGATTCTATCTTGATGAAATACTAATTTTTCAGGGGAAGAAAGAAACAGTGTCAATTTAGTGGTTGTGTTGTCCATTGCTTTTTCCTGGAGGCTCAGCATTGTATAAACAATTTTTCCAGAGAAACCACAGTGTTTACATTGCTGCCTAGTAACACCTCTATTGGACTTCCTAGGTTAGGTTCTGCAATCTTTGCAGGACCTATGTTTAGCAAGCCTGAATGCTCCCCATAAAGATGCATTGATTGAGATGCTGTTTTCCCCAGCACAGCAGTTTGGTGCACATGTGCAATAGCCTCTCAATGCTTTCCTAAAAAATACCCTTTTAAAATCCATTTGGGGAAAGGGGGGGGGCACCGGTGGGTTAGGTGGCCTACATCTTAACAGGTCTACATAGAAATACAGTTTGGTATTCCCAATGCTATAATGTTGCTTTATTATGGCAATCCCACGTAATAATATCAAATTAGTGAGCTAAATACTAAAAAACTGAAAGGTGAAAATAAAGAAAAAAAAAATCTGTTTTCTTAATTTTACTGTTTAGTTGCTTAGCAGATAAGTTCCTACTTTGGTACCCTTCATTATGGCAATCCCACGTGAGGATATCACAATAGGGAGCAATCAACTAAACTGGTGAAGATAATTACCTAGACTGGTGAAGAAAAAAAAACTTTTTTATTAGTTTTAATCTTTCAGGCAGCTGTCTAATGGATAGCCCCAAATTTGGTACCTTTATGTGGGATTATTATTTTTAAGGATACCAAATTAGGGAGCTATCCGCTTAACAGCGCTCTAATTTGTTATCATTTGGAATCATGGCATCAGAATTTTGTTTCCGTTATAAAATTTCGGTTTGATCTGAAACTATGTTTTCAGAATTTTAGCCAACCCAAAATAAGAAAATTCATGAATTGGAACAAAATGAGCAGAAACTAATTTTTCGGCCATTCACATCTCTAATATAAACTCATGTCATTCAAGATATTTGGAGTTCCCGCAGTTTGAGAACTCCACACTTTTCCCTGGACTTTGGCGGGGATACTATGAGGTTAATGAGAAGGTTGATATGATGTTCAACTTTCAGAATTATTTGCCATTTTTACATGTAACCAATTCCTTTCCCATAGGACGAGAAAGAAGTAGATTTCCAGCCACCCAGATGACCAACAAATCTGCCTAGAATTGTACACTCAATAACTCCATGCAGCTACTTCTCAATACGTCTCACTGTTGTCACTTGACCATGGCTCACGTTCTATGTGTAAAATGGAATGCTTGATATTCTATTGATGAATCTGTTTGGATATAAAATGGATCAGAGTCCAAAGCTCACCTTGTATAATGATATACAGAACTGAATAGCAGAGTTGAATTTTTTTTTTATTGATTCAAATTATTTACTCTTAATCTGGCATTTGTTAATAACCCCTATTCTGAGAAAAAAAAATGTCCCTTTTTTATCCACTGGGTAATGTCTTGTGCACATGTGTAATTGGACTGGCATGATCATGATTTGCAGGCTTAAATATATATCTATCTGTTTAAGGATCAAGTATGGTTAAAAATGCAACACGGTAGGTAGCATGACTGCATTTATTATTCTTCATTAAGATTTGTCAGATATGCAAACTGTGACTTCTAACACCTTAACTGGCAACTTCCTCTGCATAATATTAGATTACTATAATTAATGGTATTTCCTCTGGTGTATGAGAACAGAAACTCCACTGCATAAAAACACAATTCCAGTTTCCTTGCCTTTCATATCAGATCTATTGATCTACAAAAACACAAATGCACACATACATACATCTAATCTGGCATTTTCTTTAATAAGGCTCTTCTTCCACATAGGTGCCCCCTTCCCCCACAACCTCAAACGCACTCTGCCCAATGGGCTGTTTTATCTTTCCTGAGAAATAGATTGCTTTTGAAATGAACAATATCAAGAGACCTGCAGGTTCTGATATAGAGAAGGAGGGGAGGGGGGCGGCCATGGAATATCCTTCCGTATCACCACCACTACCATCACCACCACCATCAATACCAGACACAAACACATTCAGCCACAACATATTTCCATTAACAGTTTACATTCCAGACTCTGTAAATGAAACAGTTAAAATCAGGGGTTTTAATATAACTTGGAGAAATGCACTCATTTTGTAGAAGTGTTAGATTGTTAGCTCTGCAGGCAAACTAAAAAAAAAGCCTTAGAAATAATCTACCTCCGGAATAGATGTGTCTCTTGCGTTGGATGGGGGAGAGCTTTCTTTTCCTCAGCACCCACATACCATGCGTTCACACCTCCTTTCTCAGCTGTTATTTTGGGACACAGCGGAATCACCCAAAGCTAGGATATGTACTAAATATACATTTGCAGGTCTGCCTTAGGAGAGATTAACCTAAATATATCTCTCTATCTAATGAAACGCACATATATATATGTGTGTGTGTGTGTATCTGTGTATGTATGTATAATTGCATAGATATTCCCCAGCATTATCTCTGGGATCCTGTCTCTGAAAACATGCTACATATCATTGATTTGTCCCAGTCACACTAGGTTGGTGTGATGAAGCCAGGTCACTTTTTACCCCAGAAAAGATTCACATGATCAATTTCAAGAATTTTATGTAAAACCTAGATGAAAAAGATTTTCTATTTTTTAGATGTCATGCTACGCGAAAACTGGGATCCGTATAAAGTTCCGCAGCCCTTCAGTTCCCACAAATCTGCTCCCGTTTCTTATTTCCCAAGGCAAAAGGGATACCCATATTTTAGCTCTGTATTAATTTATAATAAAAACATTAAGGCCATAAATATTGAGCAGATGAGTAACGACTTTGCTTTTAGTTACCGTGATTGATATATATATATAACAAGAGATTCACAGAGACATTTCCATGACAAGCACTTCAAAAAGTCATATAAAGCTTTCTATGTGTATTTTAATCTCTGTGTCTCATCTGCTCAGTATTTCTTACATTCTGTCTGAGCGTTTCCTACTCTCGCTCTCCCAATGTCACCCTTTCTACTGATCATAGCTTACTGCTTTATTCCTGTTAGGCTGCCTGTACATATTTAGCATTGTCGGTGTCTGTATCTAATGTTAATGATCAGACTTTGTCATCATCTCTTGTGTTTGTATATATTTAGATACATCTCTATATACTTAGAGCGAACAAATACATCAAAAGCTAGAAATTCCACACATAAGTATGTGTAGAATGACACAGATAGGTATAGAACGAAACAAATATGTATAGAACGACAGATCCATGGACGAACAGATTGACAGACAGTGAGATTGATGGATAGCTGGACAGGTGGATGTTAGATTTGTAGACAGACAGGCACAAGATAAAAAATAGATACAGAGACAGAATTGAATAGATCCTCACTACTTTATATTCCTTTAAGTAGAACTCAAGTTAATTTTATTTGTTTGTCTTGTGAACGTATTGTACAGTGCTTCAGAAACATGCTGCCTCCTTGCGAATAAAAATAATAAAAATTAGGAATATTAATGATAGGTACGCAGACAAACAGATTTAATATATACATACCCAACCTTTGGCAATTCTACTACACCACTAGCCAATAAACAAATGAGAGATAGTATAAAATTCTGCTTTTTGATATGAATAACATTAGGCGGGCTAACAGCTTTCCACTCTTGGCAAGTCAATTTTTTCTTCTGGCTGTGACCTTGTTAATGTTATTTCTAAAGAATTTCATAGATGTAGAATGCATGGGTGTCGTGTGAGATCTGTATAGATTTGTAGCTCCTATATTTTTTGCCCTTGAGGATTTGTCCTCTTCCTCCCTCTTTGCACACCTCTCCCCGCTTGTAATCGTGTTCTGAGAAGGGGATATGAAGGTGACACAGGCATGATGCGGCTCTGCCAGCAAGGGATTAATTACTGGCCTCTCAGCTTGCTGTTGACACACAGATATAATCTCAAGAGAAGCAGATGAGGCTCAGATCAGAGGCTGTACCTGCTTAGAAGGCAATAAGGGATGTTATCAGCAGTTTTATTAGGGATATTGCTGCCCTAGATCTTAACATATATACCCTTATTTGCTGCGTAATGATCTACAGACAAGCTTATCCGCCTTTAACCCTATAAGAACCAGGGTTAGGCAGAGCTCTTTTATTTATTTATATTTTATTTATTACTGCCATTTATAAAGCGCCAACAAATTCCTCAGCGCAGTACAACTGGGGAAAAAGACAGTACAATCTAAAGACAATACAAATTAAACAGACAAATACGAGGTTTATGTAAAAGTTCCCCAAAGTAATCAGTTTAAACTAGCGAAGAAATGTCTGTGTGTTTTTAGATCCCAATTAATTGTCACCTGTGGAGGATCAGTAAATTTCCTATTATTTCGAAGATATGCTTGATGTTTTCGTGGAGCGGCTGCACGGGTTGACATGAGTGCTGATTTATTGTCATGTGTCAAGTCCTTAGCTGGCAGACTGACACTGTACTGACAAGCTCACGGTCAAGGGCACCGCTTGTCATCTGAAGACTGAGAGCAGTAAGACCTGCATTTTGAAGGGTATTTATCCTGTGCTTTATCTGCCTCAACATTTTCATCATGGAGAGTCTTTGTATCAAATATCTTTCTGGATTCCAAGAAACCAGGATGAAGTGGCTTTAACTCTTTGTTAAAAGGGCATTCTACAAGACTATGAGTTTGAGTCCAAATCTTTTTAGTTTGTGCTTGTAGTTGGTGATGACTCCAAATATTTAAAATATTTTTAAACAAAATGTATTGATTATTAAATGGTGTTATTCCTTGTTCTTTTAGATGTGAACAACATATGTTAGGCTTTTGGCATATCTAAGACATTATCATAAATGGTTGTATTAAAGGAACTGATGGTATTTTCAATCACATGATCTAGCTTAGGGGTAGGCAACCTTCGGCACTGCAGATGATTTGCACTACATCTCCCCTGATGCTTTACCAGCATTATAAGTATAAGAGCATCAAAGTAGTCCACAAATTATGGAGTGCAAAAGGTTGCCTTCTCCTGATCTAGGGCTTAGAACTAAAGGCTGTATGTAAATTCATTGGTGATATTAATTATCATTATCACATGTTTACAAATGTATACTACCCTTTTGTGTGCTGCTCCATTTGGACAGAATTTGTATGTGCATGTCATTGTTCCAGTTTGCCATATTGCCTATGGAAGATAAGCTAAAGCCTAAAGCCTTATGAGTACAAAATTAATAGTGTGCAGCCTCCAATGGATGCCATATTTTTTTACCACTGTATTGACTGCATAGTGGTCAAGGCAAAAAATTACAAACAGTGTGAAATATGCATCGGCTGCATATATGCATCAACTTTGGCTTTTGTGGAGTACAGATGGCATTTTATTCCCTGTTGAATGACACCAATTCATGTTTTTTTGACATGTGCACTTTACACTGTGGACAAAGTTGACACCATGTCAGCTATAGAAGTTCGATGCTTACTGATAACTTATATCACAATATTACAGTTGTAATCAAATTGTTCAATACTCATTGAAAATCAGGTTTAATGTAAACATTTACAGACGTTCAGCCTTTTGCAACAAACAAATAAAACAATAGCCATTGAAATAGCTCAACACAACAAATACTTCAAGTGGTTTCCCCAAATTCAACTGAAAATGCAACTTATAATGACGTCTCCAGTCTCAAAATTATTCAGCCCCTTCATTAGTACTTGCCTTTTGTTGTTATGACCTGCTGAAAATGAAATGCATAGCCAGACACCAGCTTCTGGCAGCGTTTCTGAGTAATATTAGCCCTTTGCTTATGAGCAATGGCCTCCAGTTCAGTAATATGCTTGGGTTTGCGCGCTGCAACAAACTTCTTCAAATCCCACCAGAAATTTTCTATGGAGTTCAAGTCAGGTGACTGTGATGGCCACTGTATAATTTTCCAGGAATTATTTTGCAATCAAGCCTTGATGGAATTTGAGGTATGCTTGGGATCATCGTCTTGTTGGAAGGTCCAATGACACCCAAGCTCCAGCTCCCTCACAGAAGGCGTGATGTTTTCTCCTAGGATAGATTTCTGGATACTTCAACTAATCCATCTAAACTTCCACACCCTGCAGGTTTCAAGTGCCAGAGGATGTCCCAGGGCATTACTGAGCCACCACCATGCTTAACTGTAGGCAGTGTGTTCTTTTCAGCACATGCTTCATTCTTCTTCCTCCGGACATACCGCTGATCCAATTCCAGTTTTGTTTCATCGCTCCACAGAACAGAATCACAAAACTTCTGTGGCTTGTTTATATGAGCATATTATTATTTTAAGCATATTGGAGCCGATGTTTATTGTGCTTTTGGGTCAGTAGTGGTGCACATCTTGGAGTTCTGGCATGGAAACCGTCTCTGTTTAGTATGTGCCTTACTTTGCTTACTGGAATCTCTGTGTGTTCCCCTCAAGTCTTGGTGCAGATCTTTTGCAGTTACTCGAGAATTTTTCATGACCTGCCTTATCAGAAATCTGGTTGCAGCCATTGATAGCTCCTTTTTTCTGCCCCGTCTAGGTAGTGTAGCCACTGTGCCTTCAATTTTGCATGCGCGAACTATGCTTCCAATGGTGTCTCTAGGAATATTCAGTTCCTTTGCTTTCTTTTTGTATCCTGTTCCTTGTTTGTGAAGGGCGACCATCTCTTCTTTTGACTAAGCCATATTTATAACAAGGAGTTAAACGTGACACTCAACAAACCCTAGCCAGTTCAGGTATTTCAAGTGTTCCAGCTCAAGGATGAAGCCTTGATAAGTTGCATCAGGTGTGCTTGAGACAACACCTGTTTTGCATACTTGTGCTGTTGTGAGGGATGATATTCAGGGGGTTGAATAATTATGAGACTGGAGAAGTCATTATATGTTGCATTTTCAGTTGCATTCGGGGAAACCACTTGAAGCATTTATTGTGTTGAGCTATTTCAATTTTTTATTTTTTTTATTTGTTCATTTCAAACAGCTAAAAGTCTGTACATTTTGACAATAAACATGATGTTCAATGGGGGATGAATAATTTTTTAATCCAACTGCATAATTTTGTTAAAGGCACACTAAAGTGTTAGGAATACAAACATGCCTTAAGTTGTCCTTTAATATACACAACAAATCTTCACAAGTTGAGCTACTAACGTGGGCAACAAATAAAACCCCAATGTCTGCTTAGATGAATATCTATTTGTTGTTCTGCAGCCAAGTGAAAATGACTAGAACATCAACAGAAACATATTTCTTCAGCAGAATGCAGTGTCGATGCCAAACTCAATACCTACTGAGTTAAATTGTTTTCTACTGGTGGATCTTACAAGGTTCAATTATTTTGGCCACCTGCAGGGCTTTAGGATTAACATTAGCAGACAACATGTAATAGGTCTTTCCTGCTGCTTTATAATGAACTAAAGGTTGGATTTATCATCTAAGTGGTTGCGGCTAGTCAACGCTTTCCAAAAAAATAAACCCAACATGAAAATGTAGATTGTCACTTTTCTTTTGATTTCATGCGTAATTAGTTTGCAGGATCATTGCAGTCAGCGGTTTTAACCTCTAACCCTCAGATAATGAAGAAATCCACAACAGCCACTTAACTGGATGCAAAAGCCTTTAATCTCTCTCTAGCCAAAAAGCCATCTGGTACATGTCACCTGGATGAGGGACCAATGTCCTTGTCACTCAAACATGAACTTGAGAGTGATAAAGAATGGGCAGGTCTCTGTAGGTCTTGATCACTGATCCCCTAGGTTACATTTTTTTTCACTTGGGCAGAATGGAATCTGGAACAGTCACAGAATTGCCCAAATTCATATTAGGATAACAGTTCAATGAAACACACTATGGAAAGGAAAGAATACATTGATATGGTTATGTATTTAGTGATACCAGAAACTTAACGCTCAGCAAGGGTTTTATTACCAAATAAATGGTCTCCCATTTAACCATCTCACCCCCATTCAGTTCAGAATCCCAACCATTCTCTCTGTTCCACTGATTATCTTTGATGGACTTTTGCTATTATTGCCAACTCCTATTCTTGTATATACGATTTCAAATTTTATTTTCTTCGGGGAAGTGTGTCAACTTCCTTATCTCCTTCCAAAAGTTGTTCCTGCAGAATCTCACCCAAATCATCACTTCACTATCTGTTCTAACCACATGTTTGGTAATATACAGGGTTATTCACTAAAATGAGACTTGTTGGGAGTTCAAAGTGATTTCAAAGTAAATTTCAAATTTAAAGGGACATTATAGTCACCAAAACATGCCCCATGAAGTCCCACTGCGCCTCAATTTTATGTCATTTACAAGTTATACAACTATGTTTATGCAGCTCTTGTCACACCTCCCTGAATGTGACCTACACAGCCTTCCTAAACACTTCCTGTAAAGTGAGATATAATGTTTACACTTCTTTTATCGTATAGTCTTTTTAATTTAGCATGTCTCCTGCTCTGTTAATACCATTCCAGACCCTGCAGGAGCCCTATCTGTTTGATTAAAGTTCAATTTACAGAGCAGGAGATATAACCTTCTAAAACAAGTAAACATCTGACTGAAAACGAAACCATTTTGTTTTCATGCAGGATGTGTCACTCCTAGTCAGGGGTGGAGAGGCTAGGGCTGCATAAACAGAAACAAAAGAGATTTAACTCCTAATGGGCAGATAACTGAGTAGTAAGACTTCAGAGGCATGGTCTATACACCAAAACTGCTTTATTAAGTTAAAGTTGTTTTGGTGACTATAGTGTCCCTTTATCAAAAATAGCCAAATTGGTCAAGTCAGCTATAATTCCAGTTTGGCTACTTTGGCTTTAAATTTAAAATTCCCTTTGAATTCCTGTTAATTTCCACCTAAGTGAGTGAACCTGATAGTTTATAGAAATATGCCTATACTTGAATATGGATTGTACACCTGTCATTTTATCTTTTAAGACTGTAAGCTTGCTTAAGCAGGACCTTTCTAATTTTTTGTTCCTTTGTGTCAAAACTTGAGTCACCAAACATCTGGATTTTCTGTTTGGCTTTGTTGACACTTAGAAGTAAAATAACATTAACATATAAATAGATCATCTTTCAATGTATCTTAATTACATTTATCCCTGCCCAGAGCCTGACATTCACACTGATTTACAAAAGTTCTGTGTATTAGGTAGTTCAACTTACCACTTAACTAGCCATACTGAACAGGAAAAATGACACACCTACAGTCCAGACCTGCAGTGAGAATGAGGTAGAGGTGCAAAGACAGACACAACGTTCAGATTATAAAATATTTAAAGTTAACAAGGGAATAATATAAAACAGTTTATGAAAAAACACATAATTTATTCCTTCATATAAAAGTGAACTAAAAGCATACTTTATTCCTTCAATGGTAACAGGCTACCTCCTGAAAGGTCTGTAAGCGCATTTAACATCATGTATGGGTGTGCAACTAGCCATCAAGATAATTATTTGCACATCCCTAAAATATTGTAATAAATCCCTTGACTAAACGCAGCATTCGTTGGCCTCTAACGTTCTCGTAGGCTTAAGTGTGGATGTATGGCTTTAGGCCATTCCTGATTACAAAAACATGTAGCTACGGAACATGCAATGCAATAGATCATTTGTATTTATAATTGTACGCCCATAACAGTATTGATGTTGGAAAAAAAAATAGGCTTCATAAAATTATTTCAGATTTCTTTTGGTTAATTCAGAAAAAAAAGTATGTCTTCTCATATTGCATTTGACATAATCAGAAAACACTTAAACAAAGCAACACATAGCATTGCCAAAGGGGACTAGGAAAAGCATATAAAGGAGTATAAATGTATTAAGATCTGATAAGTAGAATTACTCAAATTTCCGTAAGATAAACCTCTCCACTCCCCATATTATTCTTCTCACGCAATCTGCCTCACATGCTGTACATATGTTCTATAAAGATGGACTGTAAGGCAGAGATGGAGCACCTTTGCCATACTTATGGACCACATCTCCCATGATGCTCAGCAAGTGGATGTGGCCTGCAATATCTAGAATGGCAGAGGTTGCATGAGTTCACTTAAATTTCCAATATTATAATGCTGGTTTGTTTTTATTACCAGCTTATTGGGAAGAAAGGTACTTTACAGACAAGATCTTTGCCAAACAATATATATTTTATTTTTCTGGATGTGCTGACAATTTCAAAGTGAGTAATTTGGTGTATAGATCATGCCATGAAGTCTCACTGCTCATTTCCTTGCCATTTAGGAGTAAAGTCATTTTTGTTTCTGTTTATGCAGCCCTAGCCACACCTCCTCTGGCTGTGACTCACACGGTCTAAATGAAAACATAGTATTATTTTCAATCTGTACAGTGTGTTCGCTTTAGAAGTTTTTATATCCTGCTATGTTAATCGAACTTTAATCACACACGGGAGGCTCCTGTAGGCTCTAGCAGGCTATTAAAGCAAGATAAATTCTAAACTAAACTGACCGCGCAATAAAGTAAGTTTAAACATTAGATCTCTTTTTAAAGTGTTTAGGAAGGCTGTGTAGGTCACATGCAGGGAGGTATGAACAAAGTGATTTAACTCCTAAATTACTGAGAGTTGAGCAGTTAGACCGCAGGGGCATGATCTACACACCAAATCTACCCCATTAAGCTAAACTTGTTTTGGTGCTGATAGTGTCCCTTTAGGGATAATATTTTTTTGGGTGTGCCTCTTATTCTATAACTGGCTACGCTGCTATAGTGTATAGAAATTAATTTGATCTACATGTGCAACAAACAATGGTATACTTGTAATTATGATATATCAAATGTCTCTTACTTAGTATAATTTAATGTTCACTATACTTCATGTTCTGAGCGTCTGATCTCTAGACCTGAACAATCTGCCCTCATTGTGTATCACCTGACTGTTACAGCACTTCCTACATGGTCCAGGAATGCCAAGAACGTTGAGTGCGCATGTCTAACGATGCTCTTGCGTTATACTTTATGGGGACAGTTTTCTGGTGTTTCCACAAATGGTACATCAAGGAACAAACTAGGGATTCTGGGACAGGATTCTGAAATAGGGACTGCCCTGCCAAAACAGAGCAGTTGGAAAGCCTGTATTTCATCTTAATATATTAAACTTCTAGATCATGTGTGGCCATAATATGGACCCCAGCTGTTATTGATCAATTACCAGCTGTCTGTAATTGCTGCGGATCTATCTATCTTTTGGCAACTAAAGCCCTTGAATATTGCCTAATACCTATGGCAATGCAAATACAGCTGTGAACACTCTCTTACCCCTTTCCACTGTAACCTAAATATACATAGTACTGTGTCTCTGCTTGTGGCCATTTATCCTTAAGTCAGCACGGAATCTAAACAGCGTCAAGACTCCCTATGATTAACAATCAAAAAATATTTTAGTCATGCAATTTTTCCCCCCCTACCTTAACTAATTTAGTCAGTTGAATGCCTGGTAAACAGACCTACATGTGTGATATTATGGCCGTGTCTGGTTGTGCCAATGCATACTCATATAAACATACAGAAAAATGTGTGGACATATATTTATTTAAATATGATAATAGAAATATTTCTCTTAACTGGTACAGGGCAAGAGCATACAGATTATTAACACTCAACTATGACTAGGTTGTAGCTTTTTGGTAATGCATTCGTGTGTGTGTATATATATTCACATACATGCACACAAGCACACACATACACATGCTCAGTTAAAGCGCAGGGTCTTATGCATATCCCTGGACACCACATCCCCCTCCCCTCTCTGCAGTAAAGATTGATGCTGTGTATTTGTAATCTGCTGTAGCTCCCCGCTGCTCCCCATCTAACAATCTCCCAGCATGCTCTGCCTCCACAGGCAATGCGCTCTGGAGCTCAGCCTCAGCGTGACTGGACTACAGAGTCTCCTTAACCAGCTCCACACCTCCCCCCTACTACATTTCTCTTCCACGGATGGGGTGAATCAGGGGGAGGGGGTCACTTTATCGCCTTCAGACTGTAATACCCTTGCAAGTGATGCAAGGGACAGCAGTGCCTGCTCGCAAGGTGCACATTTTCACACTTATTTTGCAGCTAGGAGCTGCACGTTGGCACCACTGCACAGAAGAATTAACAACGTATCTCAGCGATACAAAATGTAATACGTCACAATTAATCATATGTTTCTTTATTTTTATAGGTCACCTTGTTAATCTCATTCATTCTCTGCAACACAGTCTATTATGCTTTATAATCCTCCTTCCCTATAGCTCCTCTAACTTTTCACTGTGACATCTTGTCAGGCTGAGATCTCAAGTTTCTATACCAGCAAAGTGACAACTGATAGTGCTTTTAGCTGGGCACAAAGAGCGCAGATATGTGCCAGGGAAATAATACGGCCAAGAGAAAGCAATGGCAGGGTGCTGGCTGCACCTACAGTTATTTTATGTTGATATATGCAGCTTAGAGGAGAAAACTATTTACCTCTCCTCCCTCCCCCCGCCCCACACACACACAATGATTAATCAGTCTATATTATTAGATTTTAGTTCTTCTTATAAAAGAGCTTCAGTGGGTAGATTACAGCTCATGGCAGGACACTCCTTACCTTCTGTGTTGGCCTGCGCATATTGTACTTTTTTCCCCCCAGTTGTACAGCGCTCCAGAATATGTTGGCACTTTATAAATGCCAGTAATAATACTAATTAGAGGATTAGTAAGTGATCTGCTTTGAGAGAATTGCTAACTAACGTTGTTTTTGTTTGATTTAGAGAGGAAAATAAGACATTTATTTAAACTTTCCTTATGCTCCTCTGCCCTTGCATGAGATCAGTGAATATTATTACTTATGAAGTGACAACATTTTATGCAGCACTGTACAAGTGGAATATGTAGAGGTAATTACATCAAGACAAGTTTGAACAAACCAAAACAAAAGATCTGATCAAATGAGCTTACGATCTAAAGTGCATAGGGTATAATTATACAAAAGGTAAAGTGTGTCTTGCAAAGTTCATTTACAACATTTTAATATTTATGGATATACTTGAAGAAGGGAGAGAGAAGCAGGTTAGTGAAGAGCAGAAGGTGGAGGTGGGGGCTGCGAAACGACACAGGAAAGAAGATGATGGTTGTTTGATGTTTTCTTGAAAGAAAACCCATTTTAATGATTTCTTAAAGAAGTGGAGACTTAGGGGGTCTCTTATATGATATATAAAATCAACATATACTACACCAAACATGTTCGTAGTATGTATGGAACTTTATCAGAGCAAAGTTTGGTTGTTTTTTTAAGCTATACATTTTTTTTATTATTTAAAAATCTTGTAATTTTTTTTCAAGAGATCAAATGTACACTACATAATTCTGCAACATTCAATGACATTTAAAATCCCTATAGAAATTGCAGTCCACACGCCTGGACCTAGGACTATGGCTAGGACAAACATTTGGTGAGGTTTGAAGAGCTCCTGCATATATTTCCACAGCAAAAGAGGCTTGGAAGAAATGGATTAAGATCCCCAGAAGCCCTACGCAGTTTACCGGTGAAGTTTGGGCTCCCTTCATCCCTCCCATAGGAATGGTTAATGGGGCCAAGCAAAATCATGGTTCCTGTGCCCCTGTTTAAACCCTGCGCCCTAGACGGCTGGCTAGGGTCCCTTTATGTTTAAACTTACTTTGAGGTTTGTCACTCTGATATGTACCAGAGAGCGATTATATGAAGCAAGAGATGAGAAGGATTATACTGGGGGTTCATATGGAGCAAGGGGAGATTATATGGAATTTGAAGAGTTATAGGAAGGTTTTAATAGCAATAGAATCAGTTATAGTGATACGTTATATACAGCAACAGTACGACTTATAGGATGGGGTTTTATAGAGCAAAAAGGGAAATAATGACATTGGGTTATGTAAAGCAACATGACCAATTGGGTGGACCATATAGAGCTAAAGGAGGATTTACAGTGAGAAGGAACAATGAGGACTTAAAGAGACATTTTATATTAGGATGTTATAGAGGGCATGAAACGTTGTAGGGTGTTTTTAAAGAGAACAGCACAAATAAGCATAGACAGAGGTCGTATGGAACTGGAGGATACTGTTTTAAGGAGACCATGGTATATTGGGCAATAGAAGGAGTTAGGGAGTATTTCCATTGTGTAGCAGCAAATAGCAATAGGGAAAGGTTATACAGGGCAATAAGGATGGGTTATAATTAAGGCTGATATTAAGACTTTTATTAAGAAATTTCAAGGAGAGATTATATGGAGCAAAAAAAGAATTATAAGTAGGGGAAATTTGCAGGAAATAAATAAGTAATTATAGAGCACTGGGAATAATTAAATTGGCAGCTTAGAACCTATAGCAAAAAATATATGATGATTTTTACATGGAGCAACATAATTAGTTGTTGGGAGTAATTCAATAGAACACATAGGAGAGGTTACATTGAGATTAGAAATTATATACAGAGTACTATCCACTGTCTAGAAATCAGACCCACAAATGGATTATTTTTAGACCAGCTTGCTTATCCCTTGTTTTAAATGCTAAGACACAGTACATCTGTGTTAATGCAACTTTTGTACAATGGCTTATATAACTCTGAGCTTCCATTTACCATCTTTACCCCCACCCCTATCCGAGTTCACATCACAAAGAATAGGCAATGTGCTTTATAATTGCACAGGCCGGCCATTGCAATGTGATAGAAAATGTTTTAAAATGCCCCCTGCTAACATTCCTCAGCTTTCCTTGCGTAGTTTGCCTATATATATATATATATATATATATATATATATAAATATATATATATATATATATATATATATATATATAAATATATATATATATATATATATACATACATACATACATACATTTTATCTTCTATTGCCAAATTCCTCTACCTTTGATTACCCCATCTTGCTTGTTATTTACCGAACGACTGATTGTTAGAAAGAAAGTTCAAAATGAAGTTCCCAATATTCCATATACTGGTTAAAGACTTTGTATAAAACTTCCACTGTGCTAGATTGTGCAGAGTTTGCAGCTCCTACTATATACATAGGTGTATATCTGGTTAGTATTGTATTTGTAAATATTTTAATAGAACCGTACAGTTCAACACAATAGTCTAGTACAGTGGTTCCCAATCCAGTCCTCGAGTACCCCCTAACAGTCCGGGATTTAGGGATTACTCAGTTGTGTCTGAAGTATTTTTAGAAGAAGAAAACAAAAACACTTTAGACCCAACAGGGTAATCCCTAAATCCTGGACTGGCAAGGGACTGAGTTGGAAATCCCTGGTCTAGCAGATAGTACATAAAATATAATAAAACAGACTTCAGACAAAATAATTTCTTAGCTGACTTTTTCCTAGTAAATACATCATGTATCCCCTAACATAACTCACCTTCCTGTTGATACACCTGTCACCCTTTGTCCACCAGTAGGGTTATCATCAGATCCCTCAGAAACTCTAAAAGGTGAGAATACAATAAGTCACATGAAGCACAAAAAGCAAGATTAATTTGACAAAAATACAAACAAAACAGAACTAACAAGCAAATAACAGACAAAAAATAAATAAATAACCAAACAGTTTAGACACTAAAGAAATCTGGCAGAGGAAATAGAAAAATAATACGAACATTTGAAATTAGTATTTAAAGAAAATAAACTGGTGGATGCCCTGCCTGTATCTAAAAGTGACAAAGTTAGTAGCTCTGTGAGCCAGTGTCATTCCTGTTTGTTCTCCCGCCTATTGTATTTCAGACATAGATCATGGAGGAGAGCGTTGGGGCAGGTTGGAGGAATACCTACGGCTGCACTTTGTTGCAGAATCGTCGCCGCAGTAGTACAGCAAGGGTACTGAGCACCATAACCGTTGTACACATACTGTCTGTGGCATCACCAGCATGGCACTGGGAATTCCTGAATGTAAAGTTATTATTGCATTGTGACCCAGTGGAGTAGCGGAAACCCCGGAGGAAAGAAGGAAAGACTCAGGCAGTGGTTGCAGAGTTTCGAAACCCTTGACTCTGTCTCTGAAGGCAGGCTGAGTGCCTTGCCACGCACTGTCCCAGTCTGACCAAGTAAGGGTTTTTAGACAGGATTAAGGATAAGTGGAGATTAAGGGTCTGGAAAAGTAACACTGACCTCAAGTATAGCATGAGAAAGGGGTGGGCATCCCTGTCTGCATCACCAAAACACGTATGTCAGTGTATTGTTTGTGCCACTTGTATGGTTTATCATCACAGCCAAAATCCAACTGTGAAGGGACCAAACATAACTTTAATGCTAATCCTGTGATCGTTACATTAAGCCATGGAGCAGTGAGTTGTATATTGTCTGGGAAAGGCAGAAAGACCTGCTGGGCTTATGTTTTCTCTGGGTCACATGAAGAAAATAATGTATGAGATGGAACACACACAAACATAACACACAAGGAGGTCTGGCTCAGTCAAAGAAACACAAGGGAATGTATTCTACAGACTGCCAGTTTCATGCACGCACACGCAGAAACATAACATGCTCTCCCAGACTGCTAACATCACATACAAAAGATGAGAGGAGATGTTTCAGTCTGCCAGATCACAAACACATACTTTGTCAATGTCAAACACTCTTCATTGGCTTCTTCAATCTTTATACAGCTGAAGGGCTTGCTCAGTCTGTCAGGATTAAACGCACAGCAGGACTTACTCAAACTATCAAGGTCACATTCAAGGGTCGTGGGCTTTCTCAGTAAAAATACATAGGCAATGGCTTCCTTTCTGTTCTTGGAATCCACACGTAAGAATGCTTCCTTCTATTTCAGTATTGCGTATGTGGGATAATTGGCCTTTCACACACATACACTAAGGGTAGATCTCCTATTTTCCCTACGTGCATCTACATAGATAAAAACATAACATAACCTGAGTTAAAAAAATGATTCAAAAAATATATAAAAAACTCTAAAATACACTTCTATATACCAATAAAAATATAAATATAAATAAGATGTATATCAAATTAAAACGTTCTACATCGATATTAAGACCATTGGGAGACAGTGTGTCCAAGTCAAAAATCCATTTAATCTCGCTTTTGCTCTTATGTTGCTCTTATCTAAGTCCTGGAGCAGAGCCCCCGTTGCTTCTACCTAAGCAGAGGTATACTGAATCTCAGATGAAATCTTCAGCCACAGTCAGTGGTGTATTTTGGATTTGTGCTGCCCTCAGCATGACGGAACTCAGACCTCTTCCTGCCAAGGCCACATCTCTTCCTGTTAAAGGCTAACATACATTTTGACTGGCAGACACACCCACTCACAGACAAGCACACACTCTCAGATACACTGACATACACACAAACTCACTGATTTGACACAATCACTCAGACATACACTGACAGATGTAGACACTCACTGACAGACACACTCACTGACAGACACACTCACTGACAGACATACACACTCACTCACAGGCACACTGACATATATGCACACACACATTCACTGACAGACAGACACAGACTCCTTCACTGGCAGACACACACTGACATACATACACACACATTCACTCTCAGACACACACTGACAGTCATACACACACATTCATTTACAGCCACACTCACTTTCAGACACACATACTTGCTCACAGAGATACACTGCCAGACACACACTCACTAAAAGACACGCACACTCACTCACAGACAAACACTGACAAACATAAACTCACTAACAGTCTCAGACTGACAGACACACATACTCACTCACAGACATACACTGACAGACACACACACACTCACTCACTCACAGATATGCACACACACAAACAAACAAACACATTCACTGACAGACAGATACAAACTCACTGACGGACACACACTGATAGACATAGAGAAAATGTGGAACTGCACTCAAACCCTTCGTCTAAGGTATACTTGGGTGCTAACCGGATCAGTCCCAGTACCAAGAGACCAAATATGTAATAGAAATGTAGAAAGTAATCCAGGCACTCCAAAGTATCCAAAAAAAGGCAATTTTTATTGAACCCACGATCAAAAGAGCAATGTTTCGACCCTAAGGCCTTTATCAAGCTTGATAAAGACCTTAGGGTTGAAATGTTGTTCTTTGGATCGTGGGTTCAATAAAAATTGCCTTTTTTTGATACTTTGGAGTGCCTGGATTACTTTCTACATTTTTAACACACTGACACACACACATTCACTCACAGACACACTGACTGGTATACACACACACAATCACTGAGAGACACACACACTCACTGACAGACAGACAGACAAACACACACACACTCAAAGACACACACTGGCAGACATACACACACAGACACGCACATACACATTTTTCCCCAACACTCAGAAATTATTGTTATGTTTTATTTAAATCCAACCAGCCTCCCCACTTTTTGGAGAGCTCTGTGGCTTATTTACCTGGGGTCCAGTGAGCCTGCTAGGTGGGCTGGCAGGCAGGCAGAAAGGCAGACACGTGCGCAAAAGAGGTTAGGTAGCTGTGATCTTCTTGCTCTTCTCCCTCGCATACCACTTAGTAATGCCTGGAGCCGGACTGATGTCAAATTCCGTCTTCCGGCATCAATGTGGAATCAGCAGGAAGTGCTCACAGATCAGCGCTCCCTCATCACTTGCCTGGAACACAACAGGCTGCCTGCCCCAGTTGGCCAGCTCTTGGGCCCCCATAAAATGAGGCTAACAAGGCAATTGACTGGGCATTTGGGGGTGGTGTATTTTGCCATCCCCTGGAAAGTGCCACCCAAGGCAAATGCCTTGTTAGCCGCGCTGGCCACAGCACATAACCAAGATGCTCTGGTAGGGCTCCAACACCTCAAGAGGGAAACAGCCCAGCCAAAACCTGCAAGCACTCTTGTCCTCCATCTCTGCATTACCCTGCAAAAGAGGGTCGAAATTCTCATTCAAGGCCGAAATAATTGACAGCTACCACAGGAGAGTTGAGAAAACTAAATTGGACAGAGCGACGAGCTCGACTAAGCAGACCGCACACCAGACAACTAACCACCCCAACAAAGGAGAGGTGAAACTCAGTGCTGCCTCCACAAGCAAGTCCACTGCCAAAACACAGGGTGGGACTGGAAGAGCCCCCAAAATTTATGAAGAGGCCCCTCCCTCCTGCCACACAAAGTAACCATTAAGTAGCACTCCCTTCCAAGGAGACAACTATTTAATTTGTTGCGAGCCCACTAGGGGGCCCTCCACGCCCACAAAAAGGTTTCTATGGAGTAATAATTGTATACATATTATTTTACAGGAACTTAATATATCTATATTTGTAACGTGATAGTGTTCTCCTCCTTATTTTGTTTAAGTTCCCCCAAAACTATCTGCCACCCATGATATCACACTGATTCTTCTAAAGTCCAATCCCATGCTCACAGAGGACCATTGGGGACTAAAAGTACAAGCTCGACACCACTGTATTCCTATTGAAGGTTAGCTGTGACAATTGAGTTTGACTCGGTTCTCACAGTGAAAGTGCCTCTAGTTGTGTCAGGTAGACAGTCACAAGTGGCATATGCCCAGCAACATAACCATTGCTGTGTCTACAAATGGCAATGCTTTACAGGACCATGGCATCCAAACCCCCTTCAAAATATGCATCTTCCCCTGCATGTCTCGTAGCCCCTCTTTTGTGTTTCTTGTCCCCTCTTTTAATGTAGCTTATTCCCCTTTTGTATGTTTTACACCTCCCTTGTGTAAATTTTACTTCTTCACCAGCCCCTTTGTGTGTCTTTCTCCCTTAATCCCCTTTGTGTGGCTCTTACATCCTGAAAGCCCCTTTGTATGGCTCTTTATCCCCTCCCAGTCCCTTTTGTGTGGCTCTTTCATCCCTTCCCCAACCCCTTTGTGTGTCTCTGTCTCCCTCCCCTCTAGTCTCTCTGTGTGGCTCTTTGCCTCCTCAGCCCCTCTGTGTGACTCTTACTACAGACCCTTTGTGTGGCTCTTTCCATTCCATCAGCCCTATGGTGTGGCTCTTTAAAGCATAGTCAAAAACACACTTTTTCACGGCCCTATTTATCTCTTTTTCTGGGTGGACGTATTTTTAATTAGGATGTATGACTTTGGGACACGCAATCACTCTTATTAAAAAAAAGTACTGACTGAGTCTGAGTGACATTTACTAAGTGATAGCCAACAGAGGAGTCCTTGCAGCTTAATGTAAGAAACGGCAGTGTTTATAATAGAAAGCCAGCAGGGGCTGCTTCTTTGTGCCAGAACTACTACATTAAGCTGTAGCAGTTCTGGTGCTTAGAGTGTCCCTTTATTCGCAATTGCTTGTGTGACCTACTAGACAAACAATGATGCATACAAAAGGCTTTCATAACCCCTTAGTGACAAGACCATTTTTCACTTTTCTTACCATTAAGGATTTCATTTCTGCGGTGTGTGTGTTTAACTGTAATTTTCCTCTTACTTATTTACTGTACCCACACATATTATTTACCATTTTTCTCACCATTAAATGGTCGTTCTAAAGATACAATTATTTTCATCATATCATATCATTTACTATAAAAAAATATAAAATATGATGTAAAAATCTAAAAAAACCCCCACTTTTTCCTACTTTGACCCCCAAAATCTGTTACGCATCTACAACCGCTAAAAAACACCCATGATTAATAGTTTCTAAATTTTGTCCTGAGTTTAGAAACACCCAATGTTAACAAGTTATAGGGCTATAAGTACAAGAAGCACTTTGCTATTCCCAAACCAATTTTTTTTTCAAAATTAACACAAGTTACATTGTAACACTGATATCTGTCAGGAATCCCTGAATACCCTTTCACATGTATATATTTTTTAAAAGAAGACTACCTGAGGTATTAAACTTGGGCTATTATGACTCTTTTCATGCAACCATTTTACCACCAATCTATGCCAAATTAAAAAATAATAATAATAATTGGTGATTTTTTTGACACACATAGCAATTTAAGAACAAATGTATTGAGAACTTTAAGGGTTACTGCCAAAGAACACCCCAATATGTGTTCAGCAACATCCATCTCCTCAGTACAGTGATACCACCCATGTGTGTTGGGTACTCTGGGGGCTAAAAGATCTTATTTGGAGGGTGCGTATTCCAGTTTTCCAACTTGGAAATTTCACAGCTGGTCATCATACACCCATGTCCCATTTGGGACATTTTTCAAGCTGGACAATGTAATTTACCCCCATCAAACCATGTATTTTTGAAAAGTAGACACCCTAGGGTATTTCAGATGGTGGTATTTTAACACTTTCAATGCATTAATTCTAACATCAGTCTTTGCCAAACTTTTGTGTAGTAATTTTTGTGTGTTATTTTTCACACACATTCTACTTTTGGCATGGATTCTCAGCGCCTGTTAGGTGTTACTGCCAAAGAACACCCCAATATGTGTTCAGCAACATCTCCTAAAAACAGTGATACTGCCCATGTACAGGTGTGTTGGGTTCTTTGGGGGCTAAAAGACCTTATATGGAGGATGCGCAGTACAGTTTTCCAACTTGGAATTTTCACAGCTGGTCATCATACACCCATGTCCCGTTTGGAACATTTTTGAAGCCGGCCAACGTAATGTATCCCCATCAAACTATATATTTTTGAAAAGTAGACACCCTAGGGTATTTCAAATGGTGGTATTTTAACACTTTCCATGCACTAATTCTACCACCAGTCTTTGTCAAACATTTGGGTAGTCATTTTTTTGTGTTATTTTTCACACACATTCTACTTTAGGCATGGATTCTCAGCTCCTGTTAGGTGTTAATGCCAAAGAACACCTTGATATGTGTTCAGCAACATCTCTTGAGAACAGTGATACCACCCATGTACAGGTTTGTCAGGTTCTCTGGGGGATAAAAGACCTTATTTGGAGGGTACTCATTCCAGTTTTCCAACGTGGAATTTTCACAACTGGTCATCAAGCACCCATGTCCCATTTGGGATATTTTTCAAGCCGGCCAATGTAATTTACCCCCATCAAACCATATATTTTTGAAAAGTAGACACCCTAGGGTACATCAAATGGTGATATTTTAACATTCCATGCACTAATTCTACCACCAGTCTTTGTCAAACTTTGAGTAGTCATTTTTCGTGTTATTTTTCACACACATTCTACTTTAGGCATGGATTCTCAGCTCTTGTTAGGTGTTTTAATTTTCAAGATTCTTTTGTTTCAGGTATTGTACGAGAAGAATGGAGGAAGGCAGATGCCGTTCCTATATTTAAAAAGGGTTCAAAATCCTTGCCTGGAAATTATAGACCTGTGAGCTTTACTTCTGTGACTGGGAAAATATTTGTGTTAAATGTTTTTTTAATTTTGTTTGTAGTATGATGGCAGGTACATAGCAAGGATAAAATTAAATGCAGTGTTGCCTACGCAGAGGCTCATTGTGGAAAATAATGATTAAGGTATATGGGCCTACGCAGAGGCCTAATATGGCTTTAAAGTACAGTATCAGTCATCATCACTTCATAAGCATTCTGATTCAGAGCTGTTTATATACGTTTCAGATTGCTTAGTGAGACTATTATTAACCATATGTAATTAATTTTCCTTGCAAAATAAATGCAAACATTAGATAACTTACTCCGTAGGGTGCATAATCACCTGTGCAGGAACATAAAAGTCAAATAATATAGGCATAACAGAATCTAATATAATTAACAAGCATATGCTTAATTTATCATCATGTAAAACGCATTACATCTGTACAGGCGGAGCAAAAAGCAGCATAACTGAGCCGTTGTTTACACTTATTTATCATTCCGAAGTCAAGACCTTTTAAATAAGCGAGCCTGAGGAACCGCATATATGCAACGCGTGTATCGTAGACATGTATGGTGCACTATAAAAGCTTGTGTGTGTAAGCGTTCCACCTTATATTATGAAGCCCGCGTATCTTGCATTGTGGTTAAGCCACATTAACCGAAATGATGCGTGTCAAACCAACCAAACCTGGCAGCTGTGAACCGTATGCCTGCGATTATTAGTCG